AAGTCTTTAAAGGGCTATTTGAGACAGGACATGCTGCACTAACACACGAGCCACTCACTGTAGCTGTGGCACTATCCCAGAGCTCTCGGACGCCGGCGTTGCAGGAGTTATTGGAGTCATCGGAGTCATGGGAGAGGGGTACAGCGGTGTGGTTCCCGGCAAAGGGGCCGTCGTAAGAGTCTGTGAGTGGAAGAGCTGGGGAGCTTGACTAGATGTTCCCTGTGTCGCTTGCTGTGATGTAGACTGCTGTGCTGCTTGCTGCTGTTGCTGCTGCCGCTGCTGCTCCTCCAGGATGGACAGACTGTTGGTGCTCTGGACCGGCTGTGGTGTCAGTCCTGTGCCATATGGCATCATGGGGCTAAAAATTGGAATTCCTGGAGTCATTGCACCCTACAGAAGAAAGCATGAAACAGAAACCACAGAGCTCGTTGACTCCAGCTTGTTCTGTTTTTCAGACAAAAAGTTTTCAGGAGGACTCTAAAATAAATCAGTGTAAGGTGATCATATCAAACCTGAGGCAGACAGTAGTAACTCACTAAAACCAGAAAGCCCTTGGAAATGCAGTTCTTCTACAGAATAAAACGTTACCTCTGGGGATCTGTCACTTCTGGCGCTGTTCATCTCCTGCCAGTGATGCTGATATGCTTCTCACACTACCCTGCAAGCAGGTCTCAGCTCTGACCCACGATTTAATGTGTAATTGTCTGAACAAAGACTGTCCCCGTGGTACCAAACGCCTCCACAGCACAGCGACAGTCCATTACGTTCAGGTTCGTTTAAAGGGCAACCACCAAAATTAAATGAATATTTCCAACCTGTCAGTCATGTTCCAACTTAAAGGAACACCATATACCTGGGTGTTTCTTACACCTCTGGACACACAAATTGATGGTTTTAAAATGCTGTTTTATACCAGTATTATTCTATACCTAGCAGAATTTTTCAGATCTGCAAACAAAAAACCTGAAGTTAAGTGCAAGAAACAGAAAACACTTTCACAAAGAAATTCAGATCACAGTTGCATATTAAATAATTTGGTTTTACCTGAGGGGAGGCTAAGCCTTGAGCGTAGGGTGGCAAGCTGTTGTTCTGATCCATGATTCCAGTTATTTCTTTGGTGAGGCCAGAAGTATTTCCTTTAATTGCTTTAACTTCAAATCCTAAAGAGTTTCTAACCTTTTAAAACATTCCAGCAAAGCAGCTTTTTAAGCCAAGCTGAAAGTGTTAGGAAAACATCAGCTCCAGATAGATGTGTGCTATGAGCCTAAAACACTAACCAAAACCTGCAAAGAGAGAAAGTGTTATCTTGAGAATAGCATCTAAACGCAAAAGCAAACCTATCAGCTGCTAAATTAGGTAAGAGACACCCACCTACAAATACGTGTAACAACATTCACACATCCACACACAATCCATAATAATCACCTTTTTCAGGCACACTCT